GCTAATCACCGCCCCACTTTCTGTATCACGAGGAAATAATAGTTATTTCTTTGTTCAATAAAGAAACATAGTCGAATAAACCACTGGAGAAGATCACGGCTGGGGACCTCAGTAGTAGGAAGGAGGCTTACTGTTTAGGAATCTTTCAAGGTTTGGGAACTCCAAGCATTGCTCAATGGCCCTTGCAGGTTAGGCTTGCATTTAGTTACGAAATAACTTTGAGTGAAGAAGTATGCATTTGAATGCTTCTAGATGTCATTGATTACATTTTTTGATTGTGTATCAGGCATCTTGGGCAATTGATTATACTGCATCTTAATCAACCGTGTGATTTGGAGTCCTGACGGTACCTTATTTGGTATGTTGCCTAACAGATTGCTCCTTCTACTTAAAAAAATATTTTCGTCAATTTTGAAGGAATTTTTCTTCTCTGAATTGCTCTTCTAGTGCTAGAACTAGAGTTGGCTTATGCTTCGCATGATTCAGCTTATTGTGGGCAAAGAATCATCTCCTACAACAAGAAGAATTCTCATACATTGAACCGTCCCATATATTATTATTATTTTTTTGCACACTAGGACAATGTACTTCAATTGAGGATATTGAGAATGAAATTTGGGGATTTTGTTAGTTCTAAGATCACATTCTTACCTTTAGGTGTTGCATACTCCAAGAACATTGTGCACATATATTCCTACCATGGTGGCAATGATGTACGAAACCATCTACAGGTTTGTGCCACAATCAATCAACTGGGAGTCCATTGATTTTCTTTTGTTTGATTTTTTTTTCCTGTCAATATTTCTAGTGTTCAGAGCTCACTTTAAATCTCTGCACAATATCGTTTTTTGTAAATACCTTTTTTTGGTTATCCAAATTGATGCTCATTCTGTAGTGTTAACGATCGTGCATTCTCTTACCCAAACAAATAACTTTCTATTGTCACATGCGGGGAGGATCCTCATTAAGGTTTGGTTTCTATGTCATGCTTTACAATAATGCAGAGGATTGGACATTAGTTGTAAAGGTTTAATTTTCTACAGGTGTGGGATGCAGTTACAGGGAATACGCAGTATACTTTTGAGGGTAATAAGCACCAGTCTATTCTGTATGTCCACATTGCAAGGAAAACATTCAGGTATTCTTTGTTCACTATATAATATATAAAAGAGGCATTGAAACTAATGCTAAGCAATGTGTAATATATGAAGAAATATGCGATGTAGGTGCCATA